TAGTATATATGCAGTGGAAAATTACTCAGCAATAAAAAAAGAATGCTATCTTGCCATTTTTGACAACTCTGATGGATCTAGAAGGTATTATGTTAAGTGAAATAATTCAGGCAAAGAAAGACAAATTCCATGATTTCACTTATATGTGGAATCTGAAAAACAAAAAACAAAAAAAGTAGAAACAGACCCACAAATCCAGAGGAAAAACTAATGGTTGCCTGAGGGGAGGGGTGGTGGGGGATGGGAAAAATGGATGATTGGGAGTAGGAGATACAGATTTCCAGTTAAGGAATGAATAATCATGGGATGAAAGGTACAACATAGAGAATATAGTCAATGGTTTAAAACAAAAAAAAGACTACTATGGAAAATTATTGTATGCCCAATGTATTGAACAGCTTAGAAGGAAAGAAAAATCCTTAGAAACACACAATCTTCCAAGACAATCAGGAAGAAATAGAAAATCTGAACAGATCAATTACTTGGAATGAAACTGAATCAGTAATGAAAAGCTCCCAAGAAACAAAAAAGTCCAGGACCAGATGGTTTCACATGGGAGTTCTACCAAACATTTAAAGAGCTAATACCTATTCTTCTCAAACTATTAAAAAACTGAAGAGGAAGGAATGCTTCCAAATACACTGTATAAAGCCAGCATTACCCTGACAATAAAAACCAGACAAAGACACTTCAAAAAAAGAGTATTGCAGGCTACACCCTTGATGAACACAGATGCAAAAATCCTCACAAATATTATCAGACTGAATTCAACAATACTTTAAAAGGATCATTCCCCACAATCAAGTGGGATTTATTCCAAGGACGCAAGGACAGTTCAATTTATGCAAATCAATCAACATGATACACCACATTAACAAAAGATAAAAACTATGATTATCTCAATAGATGTAGAAAAATTGTTTGACAAAATCCAACATCCATTTATGATAAAAACCCTCAACAGAGTGGGTTTCCAGGGAACATACGAATCCAAATATGAAAACCCTACAACTAACATCATACTCATTGGTGAAAATCCCAAAGCTTTTTCTCTAAGATCAGGAACAAGGCAGTGATGCCCACTTGTCACTTTAATTCAACATAGTACTGGAAGTCCTACTACAGCCAACAGACAGAAATAAAAGGCACCCAAACTGGTAAGGAAGAAGTAAAATTGTCGCTATTTGCAAATGACTTGATACTATATACAGAAAACCCTAAAGACTCCACCAAAAAACTACTGGAAGTAATATAAATAAATTCAGTAAAGTTGCCGATACCAAATTAATACACAGAAAACTGTTCCATTTTTATACACTAATAACAAACTAGCAGACCAGGAAATTAAGAAAACAATCCCATTTACAACTGCATCAAAAAGAGTAAAATACCTAGGAATAAATTTAAGGAGACCTGTACTCTGAAAACTATAAAACGCTGATAAAAGAAAGTAAAAATGACACAAATAAATGGAAAAATATACCACGCTCATAGGTTGGAATAATATTGTTAAAATGTCGATACTACCCAAAGCAAAGTATAGATTTAATGCAATCCCTATCAAAATACCAACAGCATTTTTCACAGCACTAGGAACAAACAATCCTAAAATCTGTATGGAATCATGAAATAACCAAAGCAATCTTGAGAAATAACAAAGCTGGAGGTATCACACTCTCAGATTTCAAGATAAACTACAAAGGCAGTAATAATCAAAACAGTACGGAACCGGCACAAAAATATATACAGAGACCAATGGAACAGAATAGTGAGCCCAGAAATAAACCTATGCCTGTATGTTCAATTAATCTATGACAAAAGAAGAATATGCAATGGAGAAAAGACAGTCTCTTTAATAAATGGTGCTGGGAAAATGGGACAGCTACATGCAAAAGAATAAAACTGGACCATCTTCTCACATCACACACAAAAATAAACTCAACATGGATTAAAGACCAAAATGTAAGACCTGAAACTATAAAACTCCTAAAAGGAAACAGGCAGGAAACTCTTGGACATCCACCTTAGCAGTATTTTTTGGATTTTTCTCCTCAGGCAAGAGCAACAATAGCAAAAATAAACTATTGGGAATACACCAAATTAAAAAGCTTTTGTGCAATGAAGCAAAATATCAACAAAACAAAAAAGCAACTTGCTGACTGGGAGTAGATATTTGCAAATGATATATCTGATAAGGGGTTAATATCCAAAATATATAAAGAACTTATACAACTCAACACCAGAAAACAATCTGATAAAAAAATAGGCAGAAGACCTGAACATTTTTCCAAAGAAGAGAGATGGCGAACAGACACGTGAAAAGATGGTCAACATCACTCAATCAACAGGGAAATGCAAATCAAAACCACAATGAGATACTGCCTCACACCTGTCAGAATGGCTAATATCAAAAAGACAGGAAATAAGTTTTGGCAAGAATGTGGAGAAAGGGAACCTTCATGCACTGTTGGGGGGAATGGAAGCTGATACAGCCACTATGAAAAAGAGTAGGGAGGTCTTCAAAAAATTAAAAATAGAAATTTGATACCACCCAGCAGTTCTACTTCTAGGTATTTACTTGTAGAAAACAAGAACACTAATTCAAAAAGTTATGTGCACCCCTATTTTCCCTGTATTATTTACAACAGCTGAGATATGGAAGCAACGTAAGTGTCCACTGACAGATGAATGGCTAAAGAAGCTGTCATTTGCAACAACATGGATGGACCTTGAGGGTATTATGCTAAGTGAAATAAGTCACTCAGAAAAAGACAAATACCACAATTTCACTTGCATGTGGAATTGAAGAAACAAAACAAATGAACTGACAAAACAGAAACAGACTTATAAATACAGAGAACTGGTGGCTGCCAAAGGGGATGGGAGGGGTGAACACATGAAGGGGATTAAGATACACAAATGTCCAGTTATAAAATAAGTAAGTCACAGGGATAAAAAGTACAGCACAGGAAATACAGCAATAATATTGTAATAATTTTGTAAGGGGGCAGCCAGTGACTACAATTATTGTGGTGAGCATTTCATAATGTATATAAAATGTCAAATCACTATGTTACACACTAGAAACTAATAAAATATAGTATGTCAACTATACTTCAATTAGAAAATAAGACAAAAAAAATCTGATGCCTCTAAGTGCCTGGCACTTAGCGTGTAATTGCCAAATTAGCCATTTTAAAGAAGTTCACTGTGAATGAACGTACTGCTAGCCGTTACAACATAGCTCGTAGCAAACCAACTAGGTAGGTTACCAGGCCACCCTCCGCATGAAGTTCCTCTGTTAGAAAGCCCTAGGTGACTTAGGTAACTGACCACCTCAGGGATTCTGTTTCTTCCTCTCCTGTTCCCTAATTCCTGCTGTTATGTTTTAGATTTCCCAATAAAGGGTGAACCTGCAAAACCCTAGGCCCCTCCAACTTTGTCTCCAATAAGGCCACCCCCTAGGTCCACGCTCCCTCCCTCTCTCTACCCAGGACCTTCTGTGTGGCCCTCCAGGACCTGTGAGTAAGAAATCTTGTTTTTCAAATTTCCCTGATAGTTGCTGCTGAGGTGCATCCTGCAATCATAAGAACCACTAAGGCCAGTCCAGCCACAACACTGGTTCTGGTCGGGGAAATGTCTGTGGGGGCTCGCCACAAGTGGTATGTGCCCAGGCGAGTTCCTCAAGCATTTCTAGCCAAGAGCATCACTAGCAATCGGCTGAGACTGATTTCGACAGTAAGTTTACTCTCCCACCACCTTGGAATATTCTTACCACACTTGGTATTGCCATGTCTATGTTTATCCATTCTGGAAGGTATATAACAGTATTTAATTGTGCCTTTATCTTGCATTTTCTCATTATTAAGGCTGAACAAACTTTTCAGATGTGTCTGGCCTTTTGGATAGAATCTTTCTGAAGTGCATGTTCAAGTCTCTACTTGTTTCGACTGGGTTGTCTCTTTCTTACTGGCTTATGGAATTTGAGTATAAGCTCTTTACACTTTTAGTACATGTAACTGATATCCTTCTACTCTTAATGGTGACTTTTGATGAACAGTAGATCTTAACTGTAATTTAGTCTCATCTACCAATCTTTTTCTTTGTACCTCTTTTAAGAATCCTTCTCTATCCCAGTTATGCAAATATTTTCCTATTTATCTTCTGAACACATGATTTATCTTTTGTTATAGAGCTGGACTGACAATCTACCTGAAACTCGACTTTTGCATACTGTGTGAGGTTAAGTTTCATTATTTTCCCCACATAAGATATCAAATTATCTAAGTGAAATTTATTGAAAAGATTGTTTTATCTGCAGTGCCACAGAGATCAAGTGACCATAGATGCTGGAGTCTGTCTGGATTCTCTAATCTTTGCCATTAGTCTCTTTACTTAATGTTACATTTAGGCTTGTGCTTTAAAATCCAAAGGTTATTAGAATTAATAAGATTTTAGAAGGGTTGCCGGATACACAATCATAGAAATTAACATTTTTATACATTAGAGGCAATAGAAAATTGCCCGAAATTTTTGAAACATCAAAACCCTACCTAAACTGTATCATCAAATATGCGTATTTTTCTCATTAGTTTATATTCTTTGAAGAGTTTACGATCATGTGAATTAATGAGAATCATTTTTTAAAAAGGATTTTCAAAAGATGTTACAAAGAAAAACTCTAGAGACAAAGGTAAAACCAGGTTTAGTCAAGTTGATGATAAAAGGAGTGAAAAAACTAGAATACACCAGTGATAATGTCTTAAGTACTTGCTAGATGTAGACCACAAACTTGGCTCTCAGTTTTTCGGCAACCAGTGTTTTTCTGCTCTAACCAACAAAAAACTGTTCAGAACAGTTAAAATTGCAATGTTCTGTGTCTTAAAATCTAAATGAAAACAAAACCAAAAAAGTATAAAGGTTACATAGAGATTCAATGGCTAAAATTATAACATGAGCTTATAAACTTAATTTTTCTCAGCATACCATTAAGAACTCACCTTTCTACCAAATCATCCTGCTGCCTGACAAAGAACTGATACAATTCAAACGGAGAGGTCTTATCTCTGTTTAGCCAAACAGCATTACCAGCAGACTTTCCCAGTTTTGCTCCGGTTGTACTTGTAATTAGAGGAACAGTGATTCCAAATACATCTTCTCCAGTCAACCTACGTATAAAGAAAAACTTCATTATGTGCTTCAAGCACAAGTAGTGGCCAGTTCTGCTAATCATTCTTCAGATTTCATTCTGGTCTCTTGCTCTAACAAAACGTATACTTTACCTTCTAAATTCGAGTTTTTGTCCCTCGTAATTGTTTTCACAGCACTCACTACGTTTTGGCATTTGTCATTCTAAACTGCAATGGAACCAGTGACTCTGGGGTAGTTTCTGCATAACTAGGGCCTAGGAAACTTTTAAAAGCCGAGGAAGAAGAGGAAAGAAAACTGGGTAAGGGGAAGTCAGGTAGAGATACTAAGGATGTTTTAAGGGATTTTAAAAATGAGTACCACATGGGCTAGGCCTGTAGTTGAGCTCCCTCAACAAGAAAATGCGATTAAAATCTACGTTATTTGCCAAATATTCGGAGTTGAAAGAAATTTTGAGATGCCAACCAAAAACTAACACTAGCTTCATGGAACCTGCAGAGCTAAAGCAGAAACTACTCCAGGAGACACAGTCGCATTCAAGCATAAACAACGAAAAGCAGTTTCTCAAGTCAGAAACACAGAGTTACTAAGGGGAAGAAAAAGACACAATCTGAATCCTGACTAGTGGTCTATTTCCTGCAAAGCTCTAAGAATACGTTCCGTGCCTAGTACCATTACTTCAGCCCTTTAGTTCTCATTAGCTAGTCACATTAACACCATTACAGACTTGGTGGGGTAAACCAACAAGGACTCGAAAAGGGCGTCATTCCCCAATCCTAATCGTGGATCACAAGCTATTCGTGTGTAAATCATTTGATTACAAGATTTCTCCTGGGTCTAAAGGAGCTTACTTGTGGATAAACTCGTATCCGGACATGATGTTGCCCAGCTGATCAGATCCACCTAGCTGGACCCGGCATCCATAATGCTGGAACAGATAGTAGAAGTCATAGGCCTGGAGCACCTGGTATAAAAACTCGGCCAAGCTCATGCCCTCGGGACTCTTGAGCCGGGTTTGGACGCTCTGACGGCTGAGGAGCGTGCCCATGCGGAACTGCCCGCCCACGGCCGCTAGGAAGTCCACCAGGTGCTGCTTCTGATACCAGGCCGAATTGTCCAGTACCGTGAAGCTTCCCCAGGTCCGCCCATTAGCGAAGAGCTGCTGGTGATTAGCCACCATGGCCTCGAGCCCTTGGCGTAGGGCGCGCGCATTGCTTCGCACGCGCTCTGGTTCCAGCGCCTCGCGCTCCTTGGTACGGCCGCTGGGGTCTCCCAGGCGCGCGGTGGCACCTCCCACCAGTGCGATCACATTGTGGCCCGCTCGCTGAAAGTGAAACAGGCCCAGCAGCGCTAGCAGATGCCCCACATGAAGCGAGTCGGCCGTGGGGTCGAAACCGCAGTAGATGGTCTGGGGAAAGTTGGCCGTGCCGCGGTCGAAGAGCTCTGGGAGCTCTATCTTCGTACCCCTCTCGGGGAAGAACTCCTTGAACAGACCCCGAGCCTTCTGCACCGCCAATAACCCTTGAGCGCCCGAATGGGACTCACGTAATCCCAGGAGCAAGACTCCAGGTGGGCCTGGGGTCCTAAACCACCGACCCCTGGAAAAGCACCGCAACGTGGGAGCCGCCATCTTGACGTCGGCACGATGGGCATGCTGGGATTTTAGAGCCCTCGCCACACCCCTCAGTGCCAGCCTCCAACAAGTTCTACGGAAATTGCTTCCGTGTTTTCCTGCGCATGCCCGGGTGGAGAGGGGCGGTCACTTAGCTACGGAGCTTGAGTTCCCAGCAGTCGTTAGAGTTCTGATGACCTAAGTGGGGATTCTGCTTGCCTTCCAGTCATCTTAAGTTCGCTAAAACTTCATTCATTCGTAACGGAGGCATGTCTGTGATAATAGTTCCTACCTCAGAGGGTTCTTGTTTGGACTAAGAATGAAAGCACCTGGCACCTACTAAGCTCTCTACAGATGTTAGATTTTAAGTTTTCACGTGAAAAAATTGTGATGCACAAGTTCCTTTGAATTCTTGGTTCGATGCAAAAACTTGTTCACAGAGGTTGTGATGGGTTAGAAATTGGTTTAACTTAATGGAGAGATACAGAGTTGGCGTTGGGAACCAAACTAATAGAGATTCCCCAAGCGGATGAAAGCGCCTCAGTCACCAGTGTACATTAGCTTGTCCAGGAGGTGGCAGTCTTGCCCAAGCTATAGCGAGAGCAAACTCCAATAAATTAAATGCAGAAAACCCTAAGTTTCATTTATCTATTTAACAATTACAGGTAACCAGGTGGGACACAGCTTTAGTATAAGTGGGTTCAAATTAGTAATCACATTGCCACAGCATGGCAGGTGCTATTAGTACTCCACTCACCAGGGATGGGGTTCTCATTGCCAGTTGGCTGGCACAGAATCCAGCTCCAAAACCCTATTCTAGAGTCTCATTTCTGGGACCACTTTGAATATCAACTGTGTAAGGTCGAGTTGGAGATTTGTGTGCAGAAGGATTATTGGGGTGTACTCTTGGAACAACCTCTGTAATGGAGTGATGGAGGCAGGGTTGAGCTGAAGGAGAAGTTGAACTGTGAACAGTTTGCAATAGGGGCCTCCAGCAATCCCATGGGGCCCTGGAACTGGGCTTTACTTTCAGATTCATTCTAAGTTGAAACAAGGGACAGGCCTTGTTTATTGGCTAGCCATTAAATGTGGGATGCCACTGGAGAGGAGGCAAAACCTTGGGCAAGGCTTTGGCAGAGAGCGAGATGCAGAAATGGACTCAGCTGTGAGCTATCAGCAACTGATAAACTCAGCAGCTGCGGGATGGAGCGCCTGGATCCTGAAGCAGGCTTTGGGCCATCAGCCAAATTATTCCCTACAGGACCTTTCCATTTTTGTAACATTATAAAGTCATTTAACAAAATGAAATATTATTTAAGAAATTAGTTTCTTTTCATGTATAATTATCAGTGAAGTGAGATTCTGGTTGCCAAATGGTAACTGTGATAGGATTTGAGATACTTATTCAACAGACTATGCAATACAATCCCAAATGCTGAAGAAAATAAGCAGAATGTGTTCTCCCATGTTGCTATTCAAAATATCTTAATATTTGCAATCGCAACCTGTTCACCTGCAATCTTATTTCCCACCACTTTAATCAGAGACATATTTACGTATGTGTAGCACACAGCAGATAGTGTTTTCTATTTAGTACCTAACACACAGGAAGATTTGGACATTTTTATTTTTTTTTAAGATTTTATTTATTTGACAGAGAGAGAGATTGCGAGAGAGGGAACACAAGCAGGGCAAGTGGGAGAGGGAGAAGCAGGCCTCCCGCAGAGCAGGGAGCCGGATGTGGGACTTGATCCCAGGACCCTGGGATCTTGACATGAGCCGAAGGCAGATGCTTAACAACTGAGCCACGCAGGCACCCCTGAACATTTTTAAAGGCTATCTTTCATTCCTAAAGTTTCTGGTTAATATGACAGGTAACTATCTGTGGTTTTTATAGGTATGTTAGTAATCTTATACCCGAAAGTATGACTTCATATTGTGGTTTAATTAGTCACATCAGGTGGTACATTTAAACCCTTGGAATTATATACATGGCTAAAATTTTATGGTCCTGGACCTATGACTTGAGCTTGGCTTGAGGAAAGGTGCATAAGTTGATTCTTATTGTTTTTTTTGGCTTAAAACGGAAATAAATAATGTTAAAAAGTATTTTAGAAAGCATGATTTATCTTAACTGTAACTGGAAGTTAGCTGACCTTGATTTAGTCACATCAATTTTGCAATTACCTTTTCCTGCAACAGAATGCCACATAAATATTCACTTTGAAAGCACCCCTATATTGTATGGCTTGGTTTCAAAATGTAAAAAAATTGTAATGGTATCCAAAAGGCACAGAAAGAGTAATGATTAATACTGTTTTAATTGGTTTCTCACAGGTTATGCCCAACAGTTTAAAGTTAGGCAGCCCTACTGAATTCTGAAGCGTTTCTCTATCTGTAGCATGGAACATATTCAAATTACAGCAGAGATGTGGCTGGGGCTAGAATATAAGCTGTCTAAAGGTCACAGCAAAATCACAGCATTCTGATCATTATAATCACTTCTGATCATTATAATCACTATAAAATATTATTCTTGTATTTCCTTTTTTCTCTTGAAGACAGGTGGCATAGGTTTCTTCTGGCACCTAAGTGGTGGCATAGGATGCAAAAGGGAGTGGATAGGAACAAGAAATAGAAATTGCAAGTCTCCTCAGGGATTTAGCGATGGCCTTCCAAATACTTCCAGATGAAGTATTCTGTAATATTCCTATTTCCTATTACTTGAGAAAAGATCAACGATCGCTTCTAAAGGCCAGTTTCAAGCCTTTGTTGTCTACATATAGTAACGAATAAATCAATCTGCCTCATAATGTCATCCTGTTTCATGACTTCACAGTTGCCAATATTCTTGAAACTGACAACCACAAATCATAAAGAATTCTCCCACTCTGCCCGTCCCTATCTGCAGGACAGTCACACCCCCTTCATTCCAAATGAATTTCTTCCAGGAAGTTTCTTCTGCACTAGGTGGGATAGGAGAAAGATGCTTTTACAATCCAAGTTCATCATATCCCTAAAATATATTAAAATGTGAAATTAATAATGTTCATCCTACTCACAAGAAAAGAAAGCCCATTAAATTTGATTCAAAGTATAAGTTTATGTCAGCCAGATGCCTTGAAACCTAGTCTATGTCCTTTTATTGTCCCTGATGCTTTTTGAGCTGGTGGTCATCTTAACATCCAAACAATTTTTAGAAGAAATTAGTTTCTTCAAAGCTGTTGGTTAAAGGAGGATATTAGACCAAAAAAAAAAAAAAAAAAACACCAAAACAAAGCCAAACAAAAAACCTGTTACTAAGTGTTCCTTTTTTTCTACATTGGTAATATCAGAGAAGGATAAACACAACTGTTCTTTCTTTTAAACTGCTTTTGTAGTCAGTGGAATAACCCGTAGGGCTCACAGTTGCCATAACTATATGCACCTGGTCCCGTACCCATATGGGTGGATAATATTTTGAGATATTTATGGGTTGTTGTTTTTTTTCCATCCTTCATTTTCCCCTTTCCAATCTACCATTTAAGTTGGTAGTAAGCTGTGTGTGTCAGTGCCTGGGGGAAGTCAGGGAAGAATGCAGTGTAAGTCTGGAAATTTTATTGGCTTTTGTTTCCAAAAGTCAAAAACCTAGAGACAGAATAAAGTCTGAAGAAATAAGCTTGGAGAAGCAGAAGAGAAAGAGACACGATTCTCTTTATTAGTGAGGGCCCCAACCCAAGCAAGAGAGCTCAGGTTGTTGGCCTCGCTTGCGAGAGGAGCTGTGCATTGCTCCCTGGCCTCAAAGAGCTGGTCTCCCGATGCACTTCAGACCTGGGGTTCCTGGCCTCACAGAAGGTTCCTCTGCTTCATTTGAGGCAGTGCAGTGCCTGAGTGCCAATTGGAGGCCTCAGAGAACCACTGTGGGCTTGGCCAACAAGGATGGCTAGAGTGACCAGAATAGATTGGAGATTATTATTTCTTGGGCATCATGTAGGATGATTGATTGAATTTTAGAAATCCTGGAAGATTCCCTCTTCTGTGGAGCCCAATAATGGTGGAGAAATAGTCTGCCACCATTACAATGGGTTAAGGACTGAGAAGTTTGTTCATTCATTTAAAAATTTATTTAACAAATATTTATTAAAAGCAATTGATAAGTCAGGCACTGTTCTAGTGGCTTAGACACATTCATGAACCAAAGGAAGATCTCTGCCCTCATGGAGATAAAGTTATTTTCTGAAGTCATATTTCTCTGAGCAGTCCTGTTCTTCACTGACTTCCTCCTTCTGACCCAGGTCCCTTTGCCACCCCCAGCCTTGGGGCAGAGAGAAGGAATGAGTCCAAGGTGACTGTTCAGGAACATGAAGGTTGAGATGGGGCAGAGGGAGAGAAACACTGTGGAGAATATGACAAGGGAAGGCCCCTCCTTGAGGAAGAGTGCTCATAGAAGCATACAGCTAACAGGATCCTGGGCCCCAGAATTCACACAATTCTTCTTTGGACCTGCAGTTTTGTCTTCCTTCACCATTGCCGCACTGACTTTTTTCCATCAGGTGACGCTTTGCCCAACACCCTCTCTTTCTACTCGATAGCTGGTGCAGGCGATAGCTGGTGCAGTCCACACCAATATTTTGTCTCACAGGCTCTTTGCCAGGATTACGTCACGAGCTGATTGTGTGCTAATGTGATGAGAACAAGCAGGCTTGTCTCCTAGAAACAGAATCTTGGAGATACCAGTTGTGATTGTCTTTTGAAAAGCATAGTTCAAAAGGATAATGTCTTCAGACAAGATAATTTCAGAATTTGCCTCTTTCTCAAGTCACCTTATTATTTTTCTGGTCTCTCTGACATAGTGCACAAGTGGACCAATCAACTCATCATTCTCCTTCCATCAAGGCCAACTGAACTTATGTCTCCATTGGAGAAGAAGTAAAACAATAAGCAATCAGTCTACATTTTGTAGAGTATTTCCACTTTGATTCAATTTATTTTTGTCCTTTTCTTTTCAGTGTCTTCCATATAGGCTTTATGTGTTCCTGTTGTAAGCACTGTATGGTCA